CTCCCACCGGCCGCTCCCAGCCATGACAGAGCATGGCAGGCCCATTCTTGGGAGATGGGTCTCCTCTGACAGGTGACTGTGGCTCAGTGACACCGCCCCCTCCCAAGCCCCCGCCTTGCCCAACTTCCCTTAGAACCCCATGGCTGTCTACAGCACTTCACGGGCCCCTCTTTCCTCCTTTCTGAACTTCCTTCCACAGCAGACTTGTGTCGCTGTCCCACAGCTCACCCTGCCTTCCCTCTCTCCATCCCCGTTTTCTCTCACAGGTATTTCCCCAGATAGGTTCCTTCTATCTTCAATCTGAACAGTTGCAGAGCTTCAGGGATGTCTGCATGATCCGCCAAGCCGGTCTGGTATACCAAGGTCAGGGCTCTAGTGTGGGGATCCTGGGACCCTGAAACAAGGATGCTTCCCTCAGGATGCCTCTGCGGCCCTCCTGGGCCCTTTGGGCTGGTGCAGGTGCCCCACCCTTCCCCGATCAGAGCAAGCACTGCTGCTGCACGGGCAGATGCTGTGGTGGCTGGCGGCTGCTTCCCCACGGGGCAACCGGGGCCCCTCGGGAGTTGCCCCCACCTCCTCTCCTGGCTGCCAGCTGCGAGTTAGAGTTAAATCTTAGCATAAATTGTCCTGGGCCTGATAAAGAAGGAGACTATACACTTTGGAATTACAAGAATTAACTGGCATTGTCAGCAGGAGCCAGTGGGAGGTGGGGGAGTTACTCCCGGGATGGGATTCGAAGTGCGGGGATATGGAGACTGGTAAGCAAGAACTCACTAACTGGGCCAGGGTCTTCAGACACCAGATTTAGCACTCTAGCAAGGCCTACCCCCAGGGGATGGGACAAGCCGGCTGTTGGGGTTGCTCAGCAAAACCAGGACAAGATGGTGGCCGGCTCTTATGTGGCCGTGGAGTGGATGTGCAGGTTTCCCCCGGAGATGGAGAGGAAGGCTGAGGGAAGTGGGCATGCTGGAGCGGGCACTTTATGTAAGGCCAGAAGATGACATTTCGTGAGCGGGCCCGAAGGACACGCCACTCACCAAGGCTATCTGAAATAAGCTGGCAAGTGGGGCGCTGGCATGCCTAAGAAGTTTGATGCTGGCTCTTCTCCACAGCCCAGGGCTGACAGTAGGACAGGCAGTCATCATAGAGCTGAGCCCATTGATGTCCACGGGGAAGATGGGGCCTCAGAGTAAGAGGCGCCCGTGGTAGCACTTCACCACCAGAAGCCAGGAGGCCACAATTACCATGACACTCAGTAAGGCCAGATGGGCGGCCCACCAGGAGCATTGCCTCCTTCTTTGTGATAAGAGAGAAAAGGCGCAACAATTTGTCTTTTACCTGGGAGGGGATATCCCAGCCTGCCTCTGACCACTGGGTCCCTCAGACTTCCCTGAGGTGGCCAGTCCCTGAATCATCATGGAGAGTCTGCAGAGAGCTTTCCCTGCAGGGGGTCGTGGAGATGGTTAACAGAGCCTGGTGCCCACAGGGCAAGATGGACAGGCATGCGACGAGGATGCTGCTCAACATTCACTTCCAAAAAAGAGGGAGCCAGAGGCTGAGGGTGGTTACTGTAATAAAAAAAAAATCATGGTCCCTTTCTCTGTTCCCAGTCCTGAACCAGTTTTCAGATCCAAAACCAATTGATTAAAGAAGTGGCCAGCTCCCTAGGGGAAGGATGCTACGACATCGTGGCAAGTATCTACCGTGACGATCCCCCGAGCCCTTCCCCGGGGGGTCTGTGGCCATTTACTCAGGTGACCATACACCAGGAAAGGGGACCAACCAGACATTTTGAGGACTACTGGACACAAGGTCTGACTTAACACTGATCCCAAAAGACCCAGCACACTCCCGTGGGGGTTGGAGTGGGGGCCTGCAAGGGCCAAGAAATAAATGAGTCCTGATGCAAATCCAGTTCACAGTGGTCCCACTGGGTCCATGGACGCTGCCCAGGCCCCAGGTGTATACTTGGAACTGATAGACTTGGCAGCTGGGGTAGGTCTCCACCTGAACATCCTTCTGGTGCGCCAACTGACCACGACTGAAACGCCCCATCTCCCCTCAACACTGGCTTCTCCTGGGTTCCTGGCCGAGAACAGCACTGTCCACCTGGTCACCTAAGCCATTACCCATCTGATGGTCGCTTGGGCCGTCCAGCTCTCTCTCCTCCAACCCCAAGAGGGACACTAGGCCAATACAGCCAACACGTCCTGTAAAATCTTCCCCAGATCAGGGACGGCCCTCTTCTCAGGGTCAGGCCCTCATTGCTTCTCCTCCATCAGCAAGTGGAGACGAGTCAAGCACAACTCAACATAACCAGCACCTAGTTAATCATCTTGAGATTTTCTCTACAGCCATTCATTGATCTCAGAGAGTGGTTACTTTACATTCTTTTTTTTCTACCCAAGGTGATGCCAAACCACATCATGTGGTACCCACATCGTTTTAAACCCCTGGGCTGGTGAGATTTTTATTTTTCAAGTGTTTGGGCCATTCAGGAGTCCCTTCCTGGGGCAGACTGGGCGAGGGGTTTGTCCACATCCGCGGACAGTCTCTGCAGCCCCATTGGCTGTGGCCTCCTAAGCAGAATGTCCTTATATGAAGCAGGTTCAACAGGTAACTCTCTCTCTCTTCTTTAATAAGAACACTATAAAACACCCAGACACGTTCTGAGCAGAGTGATTTCTCAGAGGAATTTTGCGAGTAGTACATGTTCCAGCTCTTGAAAATGTATAATTTATCTTCTAGAAAGGGGCGCATAAATCTTACTGTCACTTTCTTAATGACAACAGACAGCAGTCCCATTTGCTTCCCACAGGGAAAAAGAGAATAAGTCATGAATTGAGTGTTACGTGTTGGGGGGGGCTCCAGTCCTACACAGGGGGGCCCCGCCATGCTCCTGCCTGGGGCAGGGCCTCCCACAGCCACATTCTGGGCAACCAGCCTTCCTGGAACCCCAAGGGCTAGGGCAATTGCAAAAGGAAACTTTTTCTGTTTTATCCTTGAATAGTTTCCGATGGTTTATAAGAAAGCTACTGATCGGTGTTCTTTTCGTGTATACGGACATCCTAATGAATTCCCTTACTAGGATTAGGAGTTTTTTAGCTGATTCTCTTGAGGATTTTGTGTGTATCCATCCATCAGTAAATAATGATAAGGTTGTCTCCCTTTGTCAGTGGTTATTTATCTTAATTCTGTTTTCTGCCTTTCAACAACGACTCCCATGTAGGTTCCCTGAGTTATTGGGAATGTTGACCACAGTGCTGCGCAGCTATGGGAGAATGGGTTTGGAAAGAGCAGGAACTATGGCCGGAGCCAGCACAAACGTCTCGATGTTTGGATGGAAATAGGAAACAGCTGAGAGCATTTGGGGTAGAGAACTGCCTGTGGCTCCTCTTCCTTTTCCTCTCCCTTCCTGACCAAGTCAGTTCAAAGCCCACAGGTGTCCATGACAGGGTCGGGGAGGTGCTGCTGGCCCCGAAAAGAATGTCAGAGTTCAATCAGGGAGAAAACGGTGTCCTTGAAGTTTTGGGGGGGGGCATCTGGCATGGGTATCAGAGCCTAAGAGGGGTGAGGAAGGCATCCTGGTGAGGCAGTGGCCTGATACAGCTGTTGGAACCAGAGCAGAATAAGGGGTTGTCCATGTGATGGGGTGGAATGTGGTCTCAGAGCCCTTGTGAGGTCAGGAAGCCATCCACATGGAGGGAGGGGTGGGGGGCAGCCCAGCTCAGTGGCTTGAAGCCCGAGGTGAGGAGAGCATCCATGTGGGTACAGCCTGGGCGGGTGTCCTGCAGGGTCAGAAGATCTGCCAGGTGAGGACACCAGGCCCAGCACAGGGTAGGGGAGGAGGGAATCTGCCTAGGGGAGAAGGCAATGTCAGTGAGGGGAGACTGGGTACACATCCGACACTGAGCTAATAAGTAAACATATAAGGACAATGGGAGGCAGGTTTCCCGTTGTCAAAGAAGTGACTTAAACATTTGGTGAGAGGAACCCTAGAGTGAGCCCAATGGAGTGGGAATTGGAATTAAAAGTATCCATGTGAACTTGGGGTTCGGAGATAGATGATAGATAGATAGGTAGGTAGATAGATAGATAGACAGACAGATGATGGATAGATGGATGGATAGATAGAAAGATAGATAGAAAGATCACAGATAGATAGATAGAGAGATAGAGAGATAGATAGATAGACAGACAGACTGGCATACCTTCTCTAGTCCTGCCCACTGAAAGAACCTGGGATCACTCAACACCCCAAAAGCAATGAGCGCACCCATCATCTGGAGTTTGGCTTTTGAACGTTATTCTCCATGGAAAGGAGCCCACATTCCTTGGAGAAATAACTGATGCAGGGCTCGGGCAGAGAACGTCCAGAGCAGCAGCAGCCTCCATGCTAAAGGGATTCAGGCTTGACCGTGCTTATCAGCTGAAGATGTGCCCCCCGAAACCGGGGGGTTAGAAGGACCCTTGCCCTTGAAGCTTAAAGCACTCCGTTAGATTCATTAATTTAAAGCTGACATTTTATTACTGTAACAAATCAAATAACATATAGAAAAGGAATACTCCCCCTAACTCCTCCACCCGCACCCCCACCCCCCGGGCCTGCTAGGGGACGAAGGTGGCACTGGACCCTGTGCTGTCACATCTTCCTCTACGTTCACACTAACTCGCAAACATGTGTAAGTTTGAGTTTGGCGTTGTTTTTAAAAGCTGGGTAATACCATATAATCTTGTTTACAACTAGGTTTTCCACTTCGGAGTATATGGTAGGTCAACCACCCCGGTCAACAGAAACCCATCTAAATTCTTTCCCTGAGAGATACGACATCTCATTGCGCACACATACCAGCTTCTGTTCAAACACCCCACCCAAAGGGGTTTTCAGGGAGTTCTCGTTTCCCATCCCAAACACAATAAACAGTATTTTACACTGAAGAAAAGAGAGGAAGAGCTAAAGAAACCCAGAACTCAGTTGGAAGATGGGCTCTGTGAGGAAATATTTTCAAACTTTTTATATCCTTAAGGAAGAACGACTTGAGGGTTCTAAATCCATGAAAGCTTATATGTCAATAAATAGCTGTCCTTGTATTCAAGGGAAAACTCAGGCCATTCTCTTCAACTGCAGAAAACAGGACTCCTGCTGGACTCGAGGAGGAACCCTAGACGATGGGATCCTGGAATCCAGTCTGGCGTTGTGGCTCCTGCTGTCGCCAGCCATTCCCTATGCTCAAAACACAACCCCCACCCCCCTGCGCGAAAACGAAAAAACAAAGAAATCAGGGCAAAGCCCTCTGTCAGAGGCCCACAGGGGTAATCGTGCCCCCCACTCTGCTCTTCTCGCCAGAGGAGTGTGCGCTGCCGCTGTTTTGGTTCAGAGGGGCGAGCATCGCTCTCGGCCATCGCCTGTGGCTGGCACGCTCGCTCTTCCAATAAACAGCCCAGCTGCTTTCCTTCCCATTTGTCTCACTCCCACCCAGTGTAAAATTTTAAACGGCACAAATAATGGGCGGCCGTGCCCCGGCAGGCTAGTTTTGAAGGCGGCAACACAGAGCTGTGGAAAGAATTCCAGATGCTGTTTCTGGGAGCAGAGGTGTGGTGGTCCCAGCTCTGCCTCAAGCTGTGCATGGCCCTTTGGGGTCCCTCACCCCTGGGGGCCTCAGACTTCTCGCCTGTAACCAACCTGGAGGCCCTCGCACGGTTGCCGGGAGGATGACTTGACGTAACATCTGCGGGCTCCATCGCTCTTCCCCATGGCCTGAGCTGCAGTGGGTGGGCCAGGTAGCACAGTGGAGGGGACGGGCCCTGAGCGTGGGTGAGGATGGCATTGGAGGAGGCCAGCGAGGAGTCCAGGGGAGCAGATCGGGGTTGGGGGCAGGCAAGACTTGGGCCAAAGGTGGAGGACAGAGAAAGGGAGCGGGACTGAAGGGACCGTCAGAGCAGGTGGGGACATGAAGAGTGGGAGGGAAACCGATGCAGAGGCTGGAGTGCCTGGAGCTGGCTGTGTGGCTCAGCCATGCGGTCATCCCTGCCAGCCCCCTTCACCAGGCCAGTGCCCCACACCCCACACCTGAGCGGGGCTGCTCCGGGGCACAGCCCTGGCACACACAGTGTCACACCTGTCCTGAGACTTGCCCTTGGGCCGTGGGAGTCCATGGTTGCCCCTCCCCCTTCCTCCCCCGGACAGCACTTCAAAATGACTGTCCCATATGGGGCCCAAAAGGCTGGTCCCCGTGCCAGATGAATTTTGGGGGGACACCTTCAGTCTCTGGACTTTCACGTGGGGTAACAAACCCGAGTGTGTCCGAGCGTCTGTGGTCGGGTTGCCGGCACTGGAGATGAACCTCATCCTGGCTGACAGTCTTTGCTGCCCCCGACTCTCCTGTCCACGGGGAGGTCCACCTTTGTCATATTTACTGTGACATCCTCAGCATCTAGTAACGACCTGCACAATATTTTATTGAACTTTATTTTTTTCCTTTAAAAGCAATAAAGCATAAGTGATTCTTTCAGAGCATAATGTCAGCCATCACCATCTTTGGAAAGTTAAATATTTTAGGAATAAAAAGGGTCTTTCCGGCCCAAGTACTGGTGATGCCAAGTGTCGAGTGGAATGAGCCACAGTCCGGTTGCACATCTGGGACTGTGGGGCCGCCCGGACCCACCCGCCCACTTGTCACTTTGGAAGTTACACCCACCGTCCCACGAAGCGGGCACAACAGAGGAGTCAGGGGGACCGTGACCGGGTCACAGCTGTGACACATAACTGCCAGCTGAGGGGCCTTGACACCTCCCACTGCTCCCCCCAGGCCTCAGTTTCCTCACCTGTAAAGAGAAGGAGCTGTGGGTCCTTCTGAGGTCAAATGGTCAGTGACTTCATAATCAGATAATGGCAACATGGCTGCCACGACTCAAACCGGATTTTCACCCAAGGCGACGCATCCCAGTCTAGAGTGAGCCGAGAGGGGTCCTAGAGCAGCTCAGTGGAGCGGCACGGAATCTCACTGACCGACCCAGCACTCACCAGCCAGCGAGGCCGGCAGTTCTCACCCTGCAGGGGCACTGGCCAGACCCTCAGATTAACCGAGCGGTCACTTTTCCACTCTCCAGGAAATAACTTGCTCTTGGTTTCTTCCATGTTCTCCCTACGGTCCCCTCAGAGCACCCTGTGGCTGGTGAACCAGAATCAAAAAGGAAGCAGGAGAAGAAGTCTGCCACATCCTCAGGGTAAAGGCAGAAGAGAGGCCTGGCCTGTGACCAACGACGGTGGTGGCACCCAGGTCCCAGCAGTGACCAGTCTGAGTGTGACCAGTGCAGCCAAACAGGGCTGCCTGGGCCCTTTCCAAAACCAGCCAGTGGTATACACAGAACACAAAGGAATATTATACAGCTGCCAAAAGGAACAGAATTTTGATATGTGCTACAACATCGATGGACCTTGAACACATGGTGAGTGAAATGAGTCTGACGCAGAAAGACAAATGCCGCACGATTCCACTTATATGAGGGACTCAGAGTAGGCAGATGCGCTGAGACAGAAAGCAGAAGAGAGGTTGCCAGGGGCTGGGCTGGGGGAGGGGAGAGTTACTGTTTAAGGGGCACAGATAATGGGCACGGAGTTTATGCTCGGGTGATAAAAAGCTCTGACTAGAGATAATGATGATGGTTGTGCCACACTGGGAATATACACTTACAAATGCTTAAACTGAGAAATATCACGTTGTGCGTATTTTGCCACATTTAAAACAAACCAACCAACCAAGACCAACTTTATGGAACAGGCACTTGGTCTTGGCACCAGAAATGAGGAGGGGGTGTGGAGGGAGAGCAGTTTGCTGGGGGAGGGGAAGCTTCCAGTCTGGGCTTATCACACGGTGGGGCGCAGAAACCTGGGCTGGGCAGGGCTTTGGGGAGACCTGGAGAAGGTGTGGGGCCCTGCCGTTCACCAAACGTGGCCTCCAGGGGCCCCCAGCACTGCTCTGGAGCCTGCGGCTCACCCACAAGGAGTCATCTTCAGCAGATTAGGCAAATGAGCAGCCCCAGCCTGTTCCTGTGCCACCAGCAGGTGACAAATGGTCATTAGTAAGGAGGAAAGCATGGTCCATTTGTCATCTCTGACATCAGCAGTCCAGAAGGCCCTGTTGACTGCGGGGTTCCCTTCCCGAGGGATGTGGCTGGCTACTCGCCAAGCCCGCCCTGGGATCTTTCAAAGCCGTTCAGTTCACACGGAGCGAGCACAGCCCGGGGGACTGCAGCAACATCATTTTAACACTTCATTACTTTGCTTCCTCATTCACAAGACAGCTGCATCCGATGCAATTTGTCATTTCATTAGGCAATAAATATTGAAATCAGCAAACAAACCAACGTGTGCAAGCACAGCTCAGCTGGCGGCAGCGAACTGAGCTGATGCAGAGGGCACGGCGCAGCAGGGCCACCCATCCACCTCACCCCTCACTTCTTCCTCAAAACCACACGTTCATGTCGCATCCTCCACCGCTGCCATCTCCAGCCACAAGTACACACTACTGGGTGATTTTGACACCATGCTGTCAGCCCTTTATTATAAAGACACAGAAGCCCCTTTCTCAGGTCTCTGGCAGGCAACCCAGTCAGAAAACGGAATTGTTTCCCTGCCTCCCTGTTTGCAGGCCCCTGGCAATGCTCACCTGGCGCGGGACTTTGTAATGCTCCGAGTGTCTCCTGTGCTGAGGGGAAGGCGGGATAGGACTGTGAGTGAGGAGAGAGCCTGGGGGATTCCGGACAAGGGGAGCATGATGATACCGGTGCAGCCGCGGAGGCTGAGCTGGGAAAGACAGCAGGATTGGAAGGGGCATGGTGGGAGACGGAAGGTCATTTCAGACCAGGGCAACAAGGAATGAGGCAAGGAGAACTGGGGCCTGGCCCGGGGGCAGCAAAGAGACCCGCTGACCAGAGCAGAGACACTGCTGGGGTCAGGTCGCCAGGAGAAGGCGGGCTGATGACACGGGGTCCTGGAGCTCTGCAGAGGACGGGACGGGCCCTGGCTGTGGAGGATAGCCCACTGGGCACCTCTCCAGACAGGCGGTCAGGAAAGGAGATGACCAAGGTCCACTTCCCACGCGGGACCTCTTCTAGCATCATCATCGTTAGGACCACACTTAGCACTCATGGTACACAAACCCCGTGCCACAGCATCCTCTCTCTCCCTCACACACACTCAGACACAACACTGACACAGATGCTCACACACTCTGATACTCAGCTCTGCTCCGTCTCTTGCAGCCAGTTGGGGTGACTGAGGCAGAAAGGGTACCAGGCAGCCCCTGTGGGGTTCCTGTAGGAGAAAGTGGGGATGGTGAATGGTAAGACCTGCCAGCGATCACATGCTCCGCCCACAGGCACGTCTATAAAGGGAAAGGGAAAAGCTGCATCGAACTGAGCATCCTGGATGGGAGGACAGGAAAACACCTGCGTGACATCCACCGAACACCTCCTTTGGGTGGGCATACACCTGTTATGGAGTTTAACTCTGAAACAGCCATATGAGGTACGCGCCTTTACCCCAGAGAGGTTAAGTCACCTGCCCAAGGTGACTCAGCCAGCAAGTGACACAGTTGAGACTGAAACCCAGATCTGCACCTTTTTTCCTTCCTCTCCAGCTGCCTCCCTTAGCAGAGTCAGGAAAGCCAGCAGAGCTTCTCTACAACCCACTGAGTCACAGACTGTCTTCTAAGCCTTTCAGACTCAGTGCTCCTTCCACTCCTCCACCCAAAGGCAGTACACAGATCTGGTAGTAGTCATTTACACTTTAGTGTAAATTTAAGTTCGAGTGCTACTTGTCCAAAGAGTAATTTGCACGTTACCCCTCCACTCTAAGGGATTCGGGGTCGGGGTGGGGGGTGGGCACAAACATGCAGTCCATCTCAGGAATGAAACTTGTTAAAGAAACCCGAGGTATAAGTGAGTAGCTGCAGGGAGACTAACATAGCAGCCTTGAACTCCTACTAGTGGAGAATCAAATGCTCATCTTAGACATCCAGTTACCCGTCCCCAGTCTTCGTCAGGCCATTGCCAATTCCTCTCAGCAATGACATAAATTCATCCATCACAAGATGAGACAAGTCATCCCAATGTCGTTTTAAACCTGTTTTTCTTTTTCTGAACTTTTTCTTTTACATATACACGAATAAATTTTTACAAAAATGCTTAGGTGGAAACGTATCCATCATCTCAGTCACACTGTAGTTTTATTGATCTTGCTTTTTATTTTTTTGGCTTTTGGCTCTCCCTCCCTCTTTCCCCACAACTGTGTCCTGTTGGTCTATTTCTCTGTAAAACCCAGACTAAGACAGATTTGAGAAGCCAGACAAATATACCCACAAACCCCAAGTGAAGAATTTAGCTCGTACGCATCCGTATTTTCTTCCATGCCCATAGAATCCTTTACAGACCAGGGCCCTGTCAGGAGCGAGGGTCAGGCAAGGATCAGGGTTTTTCTAAGTGAGGAGTCAAGGTCTGGCTCCCGATAACCTGGGAAATGCTCCCCTCACCGCCCCCCCCCCCCCACAAGGTGTGCCCGTCTCCCTTCTCCACTTACTCCAGTGCGCACACTTGCAGCTCCACCAAGAAGTCACTCCTGGAACCTTAACTGAAAAGGTCCTGGGGCGCTGAACTGAAAGCATTCGGTCACCAAAATAGTGCTGCCGCTGACAGACGTAGCTGAGCAGCCTCCCGGGGTGGGGAGCACGGACAAACTCAGCCCTGGCGACACACAGATCAGCAATGACAGGGCAGGGGCTCAAGAAGACCCCAGCTCTGTGACCGAGAAAGCATCGTAAGCCCCATTGGAGAATGTGGATGTTTGTCTTACGAGGAAGACCAGACACGCGACCTGAACCTCAAGGTCAGTGGTTTTCCTGCAAAGCGAACTCAGGTACAAAGAAACAGCACAGTCAAGTCCACTATTTTGATGGGGGCAGGGAGGGAAATAAAACCTCAGGAAGATCCAAACTTTGTCAGTGTTTCCGCAAGCATGTGCTGCTTCGTGCGTTTCAGGTTGTCTTAGACACTCCTCCGATGGAGGTGATTTTTCCCAAGAAACTGTTCAAAGCATGTCTGATAAATTCAAGAGATGGTCATCATCATCATCATCATCAATTTTATATCCGTGAACAAACATTAGATAAATAGCCTTTGTACGTCAGTCTCTAGCCGATTTTTGCAGCTGTTGCTAAAGCACTAGGAGCATTTGGATTCCACTGAGCAAGAGGAAGGTGACTATTTATTGTGCATCCGCTGAGTTCCAGGCCTGGCGCTAATTAATTTACATCCTCATCTCATTTAATCCTTACAGCAACGATAAGAAGCGTGTACTTGAAATTTATCTTTATTTTAACGAATAAGGAATAGACTCAGAAAGTTCGTAACCTAATTGTTCAAGTCATGTGGCTGGCAAGTGGTGGCGTTTAAAGGTAGGTGTGTGGAAATGGGAAGCTGAGGTCCTTTAACGCCAGTGCCCACTGCCATCGCTTCAATATTTCCCATCATCTTCCCCTGACTTTCTAGGGCTCTGTCCATCTTTCAAAAGATAGACCGAAGTTCTACAGAAGTAAATGTTATCCCCCCAAAATAAAATGACAGTATTACCTTACCTATAACTCAGTAATAGTTCCCAGAGATTCCCAAGACATTACAATTTGTGGATGGGAACAGTACAGGTGGGTTTTGGTTAATTACCTTTCCATCTGACTTCAAAGTTCACTTCATAAGCAGTAGCTGTGACAAGCAGCAACTTCCTCCACCTGCACCCACGTCACGTTATAAACTGACCTTAATCAGA